TGTTGGCAAGCACTTGTCGCTCGTATTATGTGCCACTCTCATAATCTGGCATGTATTACTTACTGGCATGATTTTTTTTTTCATTCTTCTCTCATGAAAAATATATTTTAATGTGATCAACAACCATTTTCACGGTGATGTGTTTTGGAACAGGCTTTGGGTTAAGAAGCCCAGTAGTATTTCTTGGACTTAACCCCACCGAATAAGAAATGCAGGAACCAGAAAGAGTGTGTATGTATGTATGCGTGTGTTTTGTTTTGTTTTGTTTGTGTGTGTGTGTGTGTGTGTGTGTGAGGGCAGTAAGAGATTTCTCTGCATAGCACGGTTAGAGATGTATTGTGTCTCTGGAATTATGATCTATTGGTTGAGACAGCCCAAAATCCTGAGTGCTCCCTGAAAGTAAATTAGATCCAGGCTTAGCCATTGCATCAGTGAAACCAGCTTGGGAGTAAAATAAGCCTTAGCTATTTTTATTTTTCATTAATCTAAATGGATCAAGTCTAAAAATGACAAATCCGAGGTTGTCAATACCACTCAAGACCCATGCAATTTCACACATTCCTCAACCACAGGCCTTGATAGCCAGTCTGCTGGGAGATGTTTAGAAATATCTCTCAGGTTTGTCACTGATGCCTAACTGTAAACTTTTGAAGTATTAAGCACTTAGATATTGATCTTTTGGCTTCTCTGTTATCCTTTCTTTCATGTACAGACAGTCCTCGGTTTACAGCCACAACTGAGCCCAAGGTTTCTGTGGCTAAGCGCGATAGTTGCTAAGTGAATTTTGTCCGATTTTATGGCCTTTCTTAAGTGACCTCGGAGTCCTAGTGGACGATCACTTAATAATGAGCCAGCCGTGTGCTGCAGCTGCCAAAAAAGGCCAACACAGTGCTAGGCTGCATTAACAGAGGGATAGAATTAAGATCACGTGAAGTATTAATACCACTTTACAAGGCCTTGGTAAGGCCACACTTGGAATACTGCATCCAGTTTTGGTCACCACGATGTAAAAAAGAAGTTGAGACTCTAGAAAGAGTGCAGAGAAGAGCAACAAAGATGATTAGGGGACTGGAGGCTAAAACATATAAGGCAGGGCTTTTCAACCAGTGGTACGGTTGCTGGAATTGGGTATGTCTATTCTAATGAAGAGAAGGACGAGGGAGGACATGATAGCAGTGTTCCCATATCTCAGGGGCTGCCCCAAAGAAGAGGGAGTCAAGCTATTCTCCAAAGCACCTGAAGGCAGGACAAGAAGCAACGGGACCTTTGATTAGTTCCTCTCTTCGTTGGATCTTGATTCCTCTTTGAAGGACTG